TACTACTGTCACAGTTACTGTATAAAACGCACAAAGCTATTTTGGAGAAACAACTCAACTTCCACACACTCCTAATCTGAAGCATGTCTCTTGTCTCTTCCCTTCAGCCTCAATAACAAAAGAAGAAAAAAAAGCACTCAGGGTAGTGGGTCGGTATTTACTTTGTGGGCTGGCTTAGCTTTTCAGGAAGTATGAGGGACTGAGATGGGGAATGTCTGCTCGGTGGTAAATAATTAAACACAATGGACTTTCCCACCTGTAGCCCAGGCGCACAATGTAAATGTAGGAGTGTGCCCTTTCATTGGCCTTCCTGCGTCACACAGAGCTTTGACCTGTTTTAGGTTTGGGTATTTTTAACCTGCTGTATGCATGACATTTAACCTCAAGTGTGTTTCTAAACGCAGATTAAGATAATGACCTTCACATGCATGCAGTAGAGGAGTGTACTCAATGCTGCAAAAGCAAAATGTTGATGCGGCTGGTGCAGAGGGAGAGAGGTAGGCCTTTCTCACAGAGCCCTTTTTAAAGAATTCTTCCATGTGTACTGTTTTTAAACTGCAGGTTTATTCATTTATTCAATCACGGCCATTGTAGGCTGAAAAAATTAAAGTAGAGAGGCAGAGGATTCATACGAGAAGAAATATCGACATATCCACATTTTAAAGAAAAAAGTAAAACATTTTGAAAACTCAAATATTCTCTGAGATTATGACTCAGATATTTTCTGAGATTTGCAAAGTCAAAAGTGTGAGTTGATTTTTTGTGGAAATGACCATATCTCTTCCCTTTGTATGGTTGGATGAGGTTCATCCAACCATACAAAGGCGACGCTGTTTGCCATGTATTACGCCTGCAGTGGTGATCTAATCAAATGATACTTTGCACTTGGAATAAGGAAATACTCAGGATTTCTTCCCAGAAACACCATATCTAAGACATCTGTACTTTGAAGAGTTGTGCTAGGAATTGGGCCTATTCGGATGATAACAATGCACTGATTTGAATGAAGTGATATCTTTAGTAGTACATCGGGAACAATAAAGCAATTTACAGATGAAGGATACCACCGTGTTTCAAACAGTCACACCTCTTAACTAATGTGTCTACAAGATGGGTTGTGGCGTGTTGATACAGTCTTTCTTCTTCAACCGGTTTCTTGTATTATTTACGTTTGTCTCATAATTTACCACCTCAATCGTAGAAATCATCACAGGTTTTTTTTTTTATTAAAGTGTGTACTATTGCTCAGTATATTTTAAATGGACATGCTTTCACACCTGTAGTTCGCTTCATTTAGTCCACAGAAAAACCCCAAAATAAGCATTAGGGAACACGCCTGTAACAAGTAACGTGCACACGTGTTACCATGGTTACTAAATTACCTTGCATAGTATAAACAACTCGGACCACTTCGGACGATGGCTCCCACTAATTCTGTCCAACATACTCCTACTGCCTTATGAGATAGCTTCACGTAGCCATTAGCTAGATGGGATGGCCTTCACGGTGCAATAGCACTTAGCGGTAAGAAAACACAAAAAAAAAGACAAACTAAGAGATTGATACAAAACCAAATCCCATAATTCCATTACACTAACAGCATCTGAATAATTATCCCTTTCAGTTTAACAATCCTCCACCAAAACTAATCATTATCCTGACAGAATGGTCACAATTACACATAAAAATGCTGCAGCAGTTTAAACAATTAGAGTGGTTCGTCTGTGTGAATGAGAACAGTCGAAAAAGACGGCTAAGCTCATCAAATCTCTCCCTCTCCCTCTGGATGTTGTGCTGACAAACACATGGGTCTGTCTCCCTTTCCCCATAATAACCAGTCAGAGGGAGCAGACACTTCAAAAACAAACCACTCCACCCCCTCCTGGTTGTTGCACTCTTTTGAAGGAGAGTGGCAGTGTCTACCACAAGGACATTTTAATTGGTAATTCAAGAAAGCCCATTCCAATCAAATCAGACCAAGAAAAGTGAGTCGATCCTGGCCTGTGCATTACACTCGGAAGCCTGAGTCGATTTTATGCAAATTGCGCGAATGATGCGGCACGAGAAGCTGCACTTGACCTACATAACGCTTCCACAATTCTTTCCTCAAGAGAGAGGAGGGGATCACAGGAAGCTGGGAGCGAGGGGAAAGGCCTTGTTAACCACCACCTCACAGGAATAAAGCAGTGCACCGTGGGTAGAGGAAATAGACAAACAAAGCAGAGTGGTGCTTGTGGAGCGAGAGTACATGAGACAGTGCTGGATGTGGTCCAGCTTTCAGCAACAGTCTTGAAAGAGTTCAAAAATAAGAACATGCATCAAGAGAGCGTGGATAGTAGAGTGAAATATTTTTGGAAAATGGGGAGGAAGAGTTGATGATCTGCTTTGGTTAAGTTCTCAAGTACTGACGTGCATGTGGAACATTCTTTTACGGCCAAGTTTTCTCATAAAAAATGGTTTGCTGGAAAAAGAAAGCAGAACAAAATAAAACCCAATCTCCAGAGCAGAACGCTGAGAGGAGGCCATTCTCGGAGGCTGCTCTCACACAGAAGCACACAAATTCCGCACAAATTATACAGGCCAGGCCAAGCCTCGATGCTTTTGTAATTGCCAGTACAGCCCTGCCCAGAAAAAGAAAAGAAGTAGAAAAAGAAATCTGGTCCTTGATGATGAACGAGAAAGAGTGGACAGACAACAAAAGCAGAACGTGTTTGGTGTGTGAGAGACATGGACAAAAGACAGGATGTGGTCATGTCTTATGGCCACAGTCCCTGGTGTTTTAGTGCATGCAACACATGCACTAAAACCAGGTTGCATGGGTGAGGCTCGACACAAGTCAGCAGCTGAAATATCCGTCATTATAAAGTCATGATTTGCAGGCGAAACCCGCAGAACTTTGTTTTAAATTCTTGTCACGAACCTAGAGTTTATCCTGCCAAAAAGCAAAGCTCAATTACAAGGAAGTGAGGAGAAACTGCTTCACAAACTCCCATTTAAAGCAATTGTGTGACAATAAAAAAGCATTTTGGGTTTGAGTGTTTACCGAGTACTAAGGATGTTTGAGAGGTTTCCAGGCAATATGATAGCTAACAGACCTTCAGTCCTAATACTAAAGCTATCAAGCTAGTCTCTGGATTATTTGATCAAATCAAAAGGCTTTACTAAGTAAAAGGTTTCAGTTCAAGACATTTGTGTAAATATAATAACCTAGACTAGAGGAATTAAAGAGTACCGTCAAGACCTGCTCAGAAAAAACATTTAATTCATGCATCTTTCCATTTGGTCACTGTGTGCACCGTATACAATCTTCGGTAGTTTTGTGCCCGAGTTGTAAGAGGTGTTTGGATATATTTAGAGGGCAGAGGATTACAGCAGACCAGGTCCAGGAAACAGGACTGCAGGCCAACGTCTGAGAGGCTACTGACACACCGGCCTACATTTTAAAGCTGCCAAAAGGCTCTAAATATTTGGCATTAGAGGTGATGTGGTTCTTTTAACTCACACGTTGTGATGCAACTTGTGCTGAAAACATTTCCTCTTTGGCTGACAGAGTATGACATGCTTAGAGGAAGGGCGAGGGATGATATGAGGCTGGACCCTAACCCAGGATGCTGTGGTTCCCTGCACCACACCCGGAAGTATCGCGATGCTTCAAAGATGTTTTTTGATTGGGTTGAAAAAGGCTGAGATCTTTCTTTGGCATTCAATAATTACGTAAACATGCTGAAAATAATGTTTGCCACTCAGGCTGATTCCGAGCTAAACGCAGCCTGCAGCAACCTTTGAAATGAATTAGAAACATTCTGTGGTATCTAATTAATCCCTAATGAAAAAGGAACAATTTGCAGACAGACCTTCGCCGAGCAAGCACCAGCTATCTGATTATGATTGTAAGAAAACCGTGATGCCCCAAACACAAACGTTGTTATCATTTCATTATGATTTAGGACCAGGCCTGGGAATATCTCAGTTTTGGGCCAAAACACAGATGAATTCAACCGAAAAATAACCAATAGATATGTTCCTCGTAGAGTGTGAGACAGGTACAAGCTGGCTCCAAACCCCGAGCCAAATCCTCAGAAATGAATACAGTCTTGGTGAGATTGTTCAGTCAATAGGCTTGGAGGGGCACCTAACACAATAATGCACTCTTTGACAAATAACATGCCTTTGTGGGACGGCAATCCGCAGCAGAAAGCGCTGTGTGTCGCTCCAAGTGGCTATGTAAACACACCCTTTTAATCCACTTAGGCGTCAGGCCTGAGAGCAAGTCAAGTGATGGGCAGGGAGATTTAGAGCAGCAGACAGAATCACTCGCCACCTCGCATGCAAATAAGTGTGAGGGTTTACCCGTGTGGCTTGACTCCTTCAAAAAAGCACAAGTTACTGGTGTGCTTGCTTTGAGAATAATTAAAAAACGCAAGACAACCAGAGACTTTACTTCCCTGTGTGACGTTTGGTTACTAAATTTAGATCAGAGAAAGCTTTCATGATCCCCCAGGGGAGATTTGGCACATGCTACGCATTAGATTGTAAGGACACAATAATATTCCTACTGTTTGCTGCAGTGATGTGCTGCTTATTTCCATTAAGAACAATAATCTATCAATTATGGCAGCAAATAACGATTATTTTCATTATTAATTAATCTGTTGTGTGTGTTTTTGATGAACTGATTTATGCAAAGTGTTACAACGCGCCCATCACAAACTCCCAGAAGCGAATGTGATGTCTTTGCATGTCTTGTTTTGTCTGCCAGATGGCCTAAAACCCAAATATATTCAGTTTACAGTTATTTAATTAAGAGCCGTAAATCCTCACAAACAAGAAGCTGAAACCTGCTATTTTGGGATAAATTACCCTTTTTCTTTATATATCAAAATGGTTTGTATAATCAACTAATTCGTAAACCAGTTGTCTGTGTGTGGCCCCTACATGCTCCTAATATGTTTGATAACTTGTGGAAGAAAACAACAGTTTGGTTCCGTTAATGCTCTCACCTTCTTCCCCGTGGAGCCCGTCTTGGAGATGCAGGACTTTGCGAGGGAAAGGTACCCACCGATGACCTCGATCTCCTCCACAGCAGGGTAGCGTTTCTTCAGCAGGGAGCCCAGCTGAGCGTAAGGGGCCTGTGGGGGTGTGGACGCCAGGGGAGCCTCACTTGAGGCCTCCTGCTGGGGCTCAGGGGAGCTGGGCTGGCCCTCGGCCTCCACCCTACGCTTAGGGACCACGGTGAAGGTGTTCCCCTTTCTCCTCTGCCCCAAGGGGGTGGGAGCAGGGTCATGCTGCTTCTGGGGCTCCACTTCGATGTCATCTATGTTCGTTACAGGCAACTGATCCACAGGAGGCTGTTCTGGAGCTGGGGAGGGGGTAGAAGGGACAGGTGATGGGGCGGGGGAGTCTGACAGATCTGGATGAGAGGTGGGTGAAGACGGGACAGGCGGAGAAGAGGAGGGGGATGACGGGGCAGGAGGAGAGAAGGGAGCTGGTGTTGGAGCAGGAGATGAAGGTTCGGAGGTCGGAGGAGGACTTGCGGCAACAGAAGGAGATGAAGGCTTTGAAAGCCTCTTCAGCCTCTCTGCTTCCTTCTCCTCCAACATTTTCTCCTCAGTCCTCTTCGAGGGTGACGAGGTTGGCAATCCTGGTGTGGACACCTCTGCCACTCTGTGGGAAGGGGAAGACTTGAAAGGGCTGGACGGTGCAGGGCTGTTTGTTGCATTTGAGGCAGCAGGACGCCGCTTGGGAATGACTGTGAAGGAGTTACGGGACTGCAGGCGCAGGTTAGCGAGGGCCCGTGCCTGGGTGTCCCCATCAGGAATACGATCGAGGTCTGGCTTTGGAGAGGGACGGATTTCGAAGTCAGATGAGGAGCGAGACACCTTGAATGAGATTGGGCTCGAGGGGGGCTCAGCACGGACACGACGGGTCTCTGGAGAGCATGGCACCTTGGGTTTTGGTGGCACCTCAGAGCCTTCCCAGTCCCTCTCTCTGATGGGCTTGGTTTGGGCCCTGTCTGGCTCATCTCCAGGGCCTCCACTCTCCGCAAACCGCTGGCGGAAAGGAGACACAGGTAGAGTTGTCCCAGCAAGGCGCTGGGGGCTGCCCATTTCAGAGAAAGCAGGCTGTGGCTTTGGTCTGGAAGACGAGGGACTCTGGAAGACAGGCGATGATGGCTGGCTGCTGACCGACGGGCCTTGCCTGACCTTTGGCACCAGATCTGGCTGTGGCCTGGACCAGAGTCGTGGCCTGCAACTGGCACTACAATCCAGGTCCAGCAGGTTCTCTGTGCTGCGGGACTTCTTTTGCAGCTTCCCATAGTTGCAGTCAAACTTCTGAAGCATCCGGCTAACCCTGCCCTGACCCTCACCTGTCTCATATGATGCAGACTCATGATCAGGGCGGCCCAGGGTGCTTAAGTTCTCCTCACTCTTGCTTAACGTGGTGTCATAAATGACCACTTCCTTGGCCCTTATCTCAGTAATAGCACTCCCTCTCCGGTCCAGGAGGTCGTTCAGGGAGCTGTAACTACTGACACCGTTTTGCTGCCATTTGGACCCGCTTTGTACCCCTCCAGCTTCCGGAAAGTAATCCGGGTCCGACTCAATTATGATAATATTGTCTGCACGTATAGTCCGTATACCGGGTACACTGCCATACAGCTCGAGGATGTGCTGGACCGGACGGGCGGTGTGTTCTCGGTCCTGTCGCCTCCTCCGCTCCTTCTCCAGCTTAATGAAGGGGTTCTCCTCCAGGGGGCCCAGGCTCTCTTGCAGCACCAGGCTCTCCTGTCTGGTGTACTCCCTCTGTGTCGTCCTCTCCGCGTCCGTCGGCTCTTTGTTGTTGCCGAAGTGTTGACTGGCTGTGGTGATGGTGTAGCTCCGCCCGGACCCGCCGCTCGGTCCGCTGCCGGTGTTACCGTTCACATTTCCCGTCTGCTCACCGTTAACTCGCTGCGAGCCCGCGCTGACGGGGCTGGTCTCCGCGGCACCGGCTCCTCCAGACCCGCCGCCCTTCGCCTTCCTTCTCTCCAGGATTTCTCGCTTCCAGGCCGGCATCCTCGGGCTCTCTTGCCCGGGCTCTTGGCGGACGACCCGTACCTCTCCAACGCCAGACATTGCGGAGTAAGGGGGGAGACGAAGAGGAGAGAGGCAGGCTCTGAGGAGGTTTTGCCGCGGTCCGGTGCGGCTACAAAACCTGTATCCGGCTCTGACTGTACCTGCACCTCCTTTCACCGCACACTCACACACATCCCTACCGTCTGTTATTTCTCCCTCTCCCTCTGCTTTTTCACTCACTCTCCTCTCTCTCCACACAGCCCCTGAACGCGGCCCCGCCCATCTGCAGAAGCACGAGCGGCTTCGGCAGTCCCATCCGCTTCCTGATTGGTCGTTATTGCTGAGGGACAAGTCCGTGCAGAACGTCACACGTTGACGTAAACCACTCCCGTTTCTATTGTTGACTGGCCAAGGAAGGCCTGTCAATCAGAAATGCTGCGTTCAGGTTCAATCCGCCACTCCCTTTTTTGTGTTACTATATCTGGGCTATCAGTGTGTCATGTGTCGTTTATTGAGGGATTAAATATAGATTGGTCGTCAATTGTGTTTATTACTCATACGCATTCATTAAAGGTTTAATTTTAGTGAGTAGTACTAGCTGTTTGATTACAATCCTCACAACACCGTTCATTCACCTAGCACATTAGAAACGTAGCCTACTAAATATTATTACTCCTAAAATCTGTATCCAGTTTCCATTGTGGTTGTCCTATGACCACTGAATTGTGACCTTTCGTGATTCCTCCTCTTTTTTTCCCTAATCTACGATATCCCCAAAATGCATTGGGGTATGTTGGTAATTGTAGAGTTTTCCCTTTAGCCAGTATTGCAGTTTAGGGATCCTTTAGCTATCAATTGTTATTCGGCTGTGATCAATTGGGAGTATCCAGTGTAGGGTGGTGGCCGACGATTGTTCAGTCAGCATTGCTGGTGATGCCACCTGTCGATAATCCGGCTGCAGTAAACACATGAGCTGAGAGGTAGCACATGAATCAGCACTTAGAGGTCTATTATTGGGAACTACAAGCGATCACTGTCCTTCATCAAACATTTATCACCGAGCCATAATTAACAACAGCAAGACGGGGGAGAACTTAATCAAATGCATAAAATAAATAGGTAAACATTTACCTTTGTCTGCTCCTCCAAGTTGTTTTACAGAAAACCAAGGAGAATGTTTAAAGGTGCATCAAATGGGTTTTAATTAAATCACACTGATACACGTGTATACCTTATTAGCACTGCATTTGGAACAAAGCTAAGGAATTATAATGACAAGAAATACACCTGCTATTCGCCCCCAATGCTGTTTAAAGACATTTGTATTTAATTTGGTTTAAACCTGAAAGCACTTATTTATTTACTTTATTTGTAGTATTTATTCTTATAAATGTAATTGGCTTACAATATTTCATATGTATGTATATCACTTGCATTGGTTATGTATGCTGATATTGTTTACCTTAATATATTTTTCACATTTCCTGTCTTTAAAAAATAAAACACATGCATGTGTCTGAATATGATATTTCCTTTGGGCTGTAACGTAACAGTTTGAATCTGTATATTACATTAGCAAGACATTCCAATCCACTGATCTGAAGTATTAAACCTATCACTCCAAATAAAGCAAATAAAATGCTGATTATATTTGACAGAACCAAGATAGAAGTATGGCATATGCAGTGATGTATTTTCTTGAAGTAATTACGACAAAACACGAAGAGGAAATACTTATATAAAAGGCAAATACTACCTCTTTTTTGAAGTATGCTTTGAAAACAGTATTTGTAGCCTAAAAAGGTTAAAAATAATACAATCTAAATGGTTCTTCACATTGTTATACACGCCGCAGTGGCGCCTCCTGGTGGCCAGGTGGACCACAACATCATAATTGGAACACTTGGATAAATGTTGATGGTTTATTTACATGTATATACAGAAGACAATAAAAGGTGCAATAACAAGAACATAAATAAGATTTGGTGAATTTCCTTCAAAAATCAACATATATCTATGACACAATATTTCACATAGGGAATTACTTTTAAAATGAGGCCTTGAACACATGCAGTACATACACACGGTAGAATCGAACTCAGATCACATACATTACATATAGTACAAATAAACAGCAATATTCAGGGAAGACGTGTGCACAGAGTGGACTTCTTGTGGAAATCACATTCAGTTCTTGTACAATGAGACTGACAACAAGCTTCAGAAGTAGCTTCGTGCCTTTCAGACCATTCCCACTGATGGAAGTGACACGCTAGGCAACTCTGGGGTGGGACTCCCTATAAACAGGCCACAAAGTGAGACGCATGATAATAAACCAAATTTAGCTGGCAAGCAATTTCTTCTTGTGGGTGAAAAAGCAAAACAGCTGTCGCAAATCCTTGAGCTCTGTTACCCATCACAGGTGCCCAAAAGGGGCCCGGGGCATTACAGCCTTTCGGTTCTTAGATGTTTATTACATTTACATGTGTTGTGTGCACATGTGCATTAAAAACATATCTATGGTATACATTTTCCTTATGGCTCATTGTCTATCATTGATTGCACAATGTAAAAGGCACAGCATGTCCCAAATACACATTTACTACTATAGGACCCCTTTGTATCCGTACAAGTATCAAAAATGCAAAGCCAGATTTGACCCTGATGAAAAAAGGACTGACGTACAATATTTTACATTTTACTTCCATTCAGTCTTCAGAATCAACTAAAGGTTCCCTAAAGGAATTGTTACTTTTAAGTATGTTTACATGGCCGAAATAATTATTCATTTATTTAACCTCACCAAGTTTTAGTATGAGGCCTTGTTCGTCACTAGGATTACAGAAAAGCTATTGACCCGATGTTTTCAAAACCAAGGGACGGATCTTTTTTCTTTTCACTTATGGCAACAGCTTTTTTTTTTTTTGATTACCATGGTGCAGCTTCAACAGCTTTCACTTTTCACTTATGCTAGTAAGATGTTTTGCTCATGTTTAAGCAATTAGGAGCACAAATGTAAAAAAAACTGTATTTTGGACCTGTTTTGGGATTGTTTTTATAGGAGAAAATAAAGATAGCGATGAGCCAAAAGCAAAAAAGAGACCATTGTAATGCTTTAAATCTCTAATGGCAGAAAAAGATTGCTCTCTCTTCCCGTTTGGTTGTTGATGTGAACCACTAAACTTCTCTTCAGTTGACGCGGCACGCTCGAATCATCAGCAGCTGCAGCAGGATGAACAGCGGCGAGACGATGAGGCCGAACCACAGGTCTCTGGCCTGCTCCTGCTCCGCCAGCTTCTGACAGAGCAGCACCTCGCACACCAGCTTCAGGCTGAGCACCGTCAGCACCCAGAGGAGCCGCAGCACTGCCAGGCGCTTCTCGTTCTCCTGGTAAAGACGGATGGACACAATGGCCGTGAAGTAGGTGCTGAGGCCGTCGGCGGCAAACAGCGGGACGAACACAAGCCACCAGCTCAGCGAGGGGGTGAACATGTCAAATCGCAGAGCAACCAGCATGCTGAATACCAGCAGAGCTAGCAGGTGGAGGAAGAGTTCAAAGGTGGCAAAGCCCAGCCACTGGACCAGTTCCCTCAGGGAGAAAAGCATGGCTGAGGACAGCAGGGTCTTCAACCAGGGACGGACTGACTGAGGACGGCCGAGTCACGCACTAGGCAGCCCTGGTTAGGGGCCAAATATTCCAGAGTTAGGGTGGAGGTCAGAAGTCACTGCTTATGCCTGGAAATGGAGAGGTGCGGCAGAGATGACCCACTTCACTCTTAGCTACATCTTCAAATCCAAAACTGAGGAGGATGATGATCTGGGAAGTGTCTGCAGAAGGTCCTCTGGAAACCCTTCCTTATGTCAAATAAAGAACACATAACATTAGAAAATCGGATAGTGTGTCACATCTGAAAGAAAGAATCAAAAACACCCCGCATTGTCTGTAACGTAGTGTAGACAGGGCCCATGTCACATCTTACTGAATTGGTAAACAGCTAGTGAAGATAGGCAGTGATTATACCTTTCTCCCTATGTCATCACATTGTCAGCTCAATTTTCAGAAGGACTAACCTCACGTAGAAACCAATTGACTATCTGAATTAGAAATTATACATTAACATTACATATTAGCGTTACAGATCGACCTACTGTTACATCGATGATACAGCCAGTAGCCGATCCTTTCACCACAATGCTAGCTAACGACAGTCAGAGATGATACATTCCATCTTATTACCAGCACAACACACATAAAGCCTTATACAACATGTGTTTCATTGTGACCACACTTTACTTTACCTTAATAATGGTCGGGAGTATTTTCCTCCATCAAGCTGAAAGCGAAATTGTTTAGTACATAAGGCTAACAAACGGCTACCATCGTAGCTTCTTCTCTTGTCTCGCCTACTGAGAAAACATCGCGAGAAGAGAAACTCGGATTGTACGGTGGCCGGAAGGGACGGATTTTGGTTTATGAGCAAATATTTGCAATATCACCGCTTATTGTACAGTGTTATGTGAGTATAACAAGTAGAACTTCCACCGGTTTTTTGGGGGGGATAATAATAGATATAAAACAAATGTAAATATATCAATTTTGGTTGGTTTCTTTATATTAGGCTCAATATATAGATACATCTCCGGTCTCTAGGTGGCAGTAGTGAGGTGATACTTCAACCGCAAACAGTCGGGTCAAAACCAAAGAAGAAACACTGTTCGTGTGAAAAACTGTGGAGAAGTCCTTCACAGGTAATTACAATGTCTTGATGTTGTATTTCTGTCGTTTTTATTTATATTTGTGTATTGTAGTATTACATATTGAATACATACGTTGCTCTGGGTTATTGCTTTAACACCCTCCGTACATTGCAATGTTATTTTCCCGACCAAGGTGACAAATGAAATGTTGTAAAAGTAACTCAACCTGTTCTGATTAAAAAGCACACGAACACACTGGCGGTGAAAATGTTAAAATAACACCCATTAAAGTTAAATGGCACAACCGTCATTACTGATATGTTTCATGCTAAAAAAAAGAAGTAAACTGCTCCGTAAGAATAATGTTTTTCATCTTAAAGTTACAGTTTGCCATGTAAATCTATCACTTTGCTCGGGAAGATATTCGTTATTGTGAATTAAAGCATTGCTGCAAAGTTAAGACAAAGCATGTACATGGAGAACAAAGTGCTAAACATTGCATTTGGGACTAAAAGCTTTCTATTTAGTATAATTTGAAAACTTGCAGCCTGCTTTGTGTGCAGTGAGGTGGGTCTAAGCTG